CACTCTGCTAGTCGCACACACTTCAGACGTCAACACACCGAAAGAGGGTAGATTTACTCATTTAATCCATTGAATATGGCATAGATATGACAAGTATAGTGTTCCAACATGTTTTTAGCTGTTTTGGGATGTCTCTGGATGCTTATTTCGTCGGTTTGTCGTCGATTTTAGCACAACGGCGCCGCGAGCGCAAAGCTAACTCTGAAACTGATAGGCGGAGAAGTTCAACAGCTAACGTTAAACTACATTTACTGTCTAACATAAGCAATAAATGCATGTACATGGGCTCAGCTTAATATTATATACGTAAAAAGGCTTTAAGTTAATTGTTTTTGTATGTTTAGATAGTGAGTTTATTGGAGGATGGCGTTTGTGAAGAGCGGATGGCTGCACAGACAAAGTGAGTGTTTATTACTCCATATTTATGACCTTAAAATCCTTCGTTTTAGTTATTTTGGGCTTTTCGATGTCGATTTTAAGCATTTTATGGCGATTTTCTAATTCACATGAAAGTTTAAACAGCACTTTTATCATTTAAAGCCTCTGAAATATACATCAAGTATGCGAAATATTTAGCTTGGAGGTTGAATTGAAAAGCTTTTCAGTTTTGCTTTGTTTTCATTCATTACAGCAGACACTGTCCTTTCATCTACTTGTTAAGTTATCTTGTCATGATTTTTTAAACGGAAGTTGAAATTCAGCTGAACTTTGTGTCTCAAAACCTAATGAGCTGACTATCTGGCTGTATAGTGTTTTAAAGCTCTTTTTAGATGATGACTTCATTTTTTCTGTTTGCTTAAACTTGTTTAAACTATAGAGGTCAGATTACTGTACAGTTACAAGCAATTTTATTTTATTTTTTTAGAATTGAATTTGTAATACATTTGTAATACGAAGAATATAAATAAAGTTGATACATTTTATAATGCAATTATTTTATAATATAATTTTTATTATTTTAATTATAAAAAAGTAATTAAAACATGGCTGATATTAAACTTTGTATAAATAAATTACTATTAAAATAATTATATATTATAATTTTAATACATTTCTTATATATATATATATATATATATATAAATACATTTAATACAACTTGTGCTTAAATTATTTTAAAATGTAATTTAAAAAAATATATAATTTAATAAAAATGTATAATTAGAAGAAGTAATTAAAATGTAATTCTAAAATCTGATCTTGTCATCTATCAGGCACCATCTTGCGGCGCTGGAAGAGGAACTGGTTTGACCTCTGGTCAGATGGGCGTCTGGTCTTCTACGATGACCAGCAGCGGCGGGACATGGAAGACGAGATCCACATGAAGGTGGACTGCATTAACATCCGCAACGCCAGCGCGTGTAGAGGTGGGAGTGATGCGCACTTTAGTCTTCATCCGCTGTCTTTCTTTCTACTTTTGAAATGCGGAAGATGCAAAAACTTCAAAAGTGCCTTTTGATGTAGTACTTGACAGGTTTTTCTAAGTCGTTGGACAAAGACAGGATGAAAACGTGAATAGTAAGTAACTTGAAAGTCTCCATGTGTTGTTGTTCTTCATCCTCCATTATTTAATTCCAGATCTCATGCCACCTGAAGGCAAGAGCAAAGACTCCCTCCTGCAGATCGTCTGCCGGGACGGTCGGGTCATCAGCATCTGCGCAGACAGTGCAGACGATGCTTTGTGAGTCAAATTTGTTATTAATATTCACAATGTGTGCTTCAAAGTGAGATTTTTTGATACTAACTCAATGTATTTTCGCATAGGGCTTGGACCATGGCCCTCCAGGATGCTAGACTCAACACTGTGAGTTACACAAATGCAATTTGAGTGGGAAAGCACATTCACATTTAAACTTTCCAGTAGCGCAGCTTCTGGAACTGATTTCAAAAGCGTTACCGAGGCGTTTGCTGACATGAGTTGGTGTGTTTTGTAGATTGTGCAGCATCCTCAGGTTGGTTTTGCCGAGGACATCGTAGCATCAGCTCCTCCACCCTATTCTGAGTTAAACCCAACTCCACAGGTAATATATTTAGAGGAAAATGACTGTATCAAATGTTGATTACTACAGAAAATATTTTTTTTTTACTTAGATATCCAGCTTATGTCGTTGCTTGTGTTTTAAAGCTCTTTTTAAATGTTGACTTTGTCATTTCTGTTTGATCATAAACTTGTTTGACTAGGAAGAACAATTGAGGTCGGATTACGTTTACAAGCAATGCTTGAAAGTATATTGGCTCCTATAAAAAGGATGTTATCAAAATCCCAATAAAACACTGCTTGAAATGATGGTTTCAGTTTTAACTAGTTCAGTTGACGAAAACAGGACACTAATGTAGATTGTTTACCGATGTTATGTTATGGCTAATATTATAATTCTGTACTATTTCATCTAAATCAATTATAATTGATTATTTTTTAAATTTGTAATTTAATAAATGTGATATATAAGTTATAATAAAACAAATTTATGATACATTTAAGTATGAAAGTGCATTTCTAATAATATTTAAATGAAATTTTAAAATACATTTTATGTATAAATATATAAGTAGAATAGAAGAAATTAGCATGCACAATTAAAATTGTAAATATTCTGAATCATGTTACAATGTAATTTTTTTTTTATTAATTCACTTTTATAATTATTAAACATAATATAAAATGTAACTACATATAAGGAAAAACTAAAGCAAATATATAATAAATAAATAAAAAAGAAAAATAATCGTTAATGAAAAATAATGATATAATAGTAAATAATAATTTATAAAATGTTCTAATTATTAAAATAAAATAAAAATACATTTAAACAAATAAAAACATAAATAATTAAAATCTAAAAATAGGGGAAATGAGCATCCATCAATATAAATACTTCAATAAACTCATCAATAAATACTTCGAAATAAAAAATATTTTATGAAAATTTTTTGACATAAATTATAATACAATAATTTAAATCATAATACAAATAATTTAATTTAATTTAATAAAAAATAAATAAGTCCAAATGAGTGTACATAAATTATATTTTATAAAATTACAAATTTAAATGTAATGAGCATCCAGAAAAAATTTGAAATCGATATATTTATACCAATTAAAAACTGATGAATCATGTACCCCTAATTTCTTTCTAATTTTCATCTAGGTTTTCTGTCCTGATGGATATGGCGGTTATGTTCCTCATCCTCCTCCTTATGCCACACAGATGGTCTACTCAGCAGATGGGCAGCAGTATGCAGTTGCCTACCCGTATCTTTATCAAGGTAACGGGAAGTTGCTTGACATTTGACTAGGGATGGGTACCGAAACCCGGTATTCAATCGGTCCCGGGGCTAAATTATGAAAGACCGGAGTATCGATAAGCTCTGACGTTAACTGTTCTGCTATTGGTACTGGAGAAAGAAAAAAAAAACACACATACATTTATTATTGCTATATATACATTATCTTGCAAATTCTATCTCACCAGAGTCGCCAGCTGTTTTTCAAACATTTGTCTATGATGCATTTTTGCTATTCACAATTCAGAAGCGAGATCGCGCCCACGCGGAGGAGCTTCAGCACGCGCAACATGAAAGCCCTG